TGGAAAATCGTACTAAGAGAATATTTAAAAAGAAGAAGTAAAACAATATTGAAAGAAACTACTCCAGATGTTAATGGCAATGTGATACAATTTAAAATGGCGGATGATGTTCTCCTTCCTTGAGCCAACGAACTGCTGAAGCTGTGCAATGTTTTCATGAGCATCACAATGTTTTCATGAGTGTGTTTATTATTTATTATTTAACTCAATTTTTTAATATAATAGTATTTATGGCAGTCTGTTCATAAGTACAGTTGTCTGTAAGTCGGACGTTCTTAACACAGTGACTGCCTGTATCCAGTTTAATGGGGAAAGCTGTTGACCAACTTTGACAATTTGACAATCCCAGCTTTCACAGTTGCTGAGTGAACAAAAGTTGCAAGTTATTTGTAACATCAGTGTTTCTCAACCTTGGCCATTTTAAGATGCTGCCTGGGGAATTCTGGGAGTTGAAGTCCACACATCTTAAAATAGCTAAGGTTGAGAAACACTGTGTTACATGATAGCCCTTTGTTTTCTCATTTGCCCTACAGATTTCAGGAGGAGATTCTTGTCTCTCTTGTCTTACCAGTTCAGCACTTTCTCCCCATCGTTAGCTTTGAACATATTGCAAAACAGGAATGTCAAGCAACAGTCACAATCCTGTAAGTATATGCAAGCTCCTGGCAGGGTATTTTATAAAGCAACTTAAACAAAATCTAGGAAAAAGGTGGACGTGAATAGAAGAATTTTCATAGATCTTCATTCTGTTTCTAGTAGGCCAAACATTCAAGCCCGACTTTTTCTTTCATTCAGATCCACTTTTCCCTTTCTTTCCTCTTCAGTTTTAATTAAACCTTTATATCCTTCTTTTAAAATGGATGAAACTTGGTAATATACTTTAGCAATACAGTGGTACCTCGGGTTACGAACGCCTGTACTAACGAACATTTCGGGTTAGGACCAGCTTCGGCAGGAAAAATTTACCTCGGGTTATGAACTCGCCTCGACTTACGAACCGGATACGTGGCCATTTTCCCTGCTGCCACGCGGTCGCGGCTTCCTGTGGGCGAGGTCGCGGTAGCAAGGAGACGTTCGGTGAGGCTTGTGGTGTGTTTTGCGAGGGTTTTTGGTGTGCGTGTTAGCATGGCTCCAAAGAAAATACAGAGTAGGCTTGGCAGGAGTAAGGCTCTGAAGAGAAAAGTGACGATCGAGCTGAAGAAGGAAATTATAGAAAAGCACGATCGTGGCATTCGTGTGATTGATCTGGCCTCAGAGTACAAGATGGCGAAGTTGACCATCTCGACTATGCTCAAGAATAAAGATGCCATCAGAGGAGCTGATGTGGCAAAAGGAGTGTCGATCTTAACGAGGCAGAGGACACCAGTGCTGGAAGAGGTGGAAAAGCTGTTGTTGGTATGGCTGAATGAGAAACAGCTGGCAGGTGATAGCTATGAGTGAGTGAGGCTATGATCTGCGAGAAAGCCAGGAAGCTGCACAGTGATTTGCTGCAGACAAACCCCTCTACCAGCGCAGCAAGTGAGGAATTTAAAGCCAGCAGAGGCTGGTTTGAGAAATTCTGAAAGAGAAGTGGCATCCACAGTG